CAATGTTCTCTAGTGGGGAAAACAAAAGAACCAATGAGACGCCTCAAGTGAAGATATGATAGCCTCTCTGGCGAGTTTCCCGTCTCTGCTCGTTCTATGTCAACAAAGCGATATTCTGGTGATCGTCAGAATTGTCACTTAAGAGGGCCGCAGCGTCTCCGCCGGTCACTGTGCAAGTGGGAGAATTTCAGAGAGTGAGGCTCAGACCATCTGTATAAAGAATGATGCCTACGAGTTGCTTGAAAACGAGGACTACTTGCTCTTGAATTTAGTCGGCTTGTCAGCTGAGCCAAAGCGCCTACTTCTGTGACATGGCCCGACCCTGCAGATCAGGTATGATACTATTGGTTGAGGAGCTTTGGCAATGTGCACAAATGAGAGAAAAGCACTATTACCTGAGTGTGCAAATATAGGTGCGCGGTACTCGAGTCGACTGGTACTTACTTTATAACCTCGGTTGAGCCTGTGCGTAAGTGTATGTTTGCCGGTCTGCCTGTCTGTCACAAAACTTTTAGCAACGGTATTGTGGTACGTTGGCTCCAAATGATGTAGGGTATGAGACAGTAACACTCTCGTTGACTAAAAACAGCGATGACACTTAACAGGCTTCAGTACTTCGAAAGGGGAGGATCACCAACTCCAGTGCCGGTGCCAGCGACGGTGTGACGTCGCTTCCGAGTTGTGATGTAGGTTTGGTACAGAAATATTATATTTGTGAGTGGCAGAAAGTGTTCACAACGACAGTTGATGACGATAAAAAGATATTACAACCCAAGTCCCACTCAATTCATAGCACGCATCATGGCAGCAGCACGAAATCGGTCCCAACAGGTGAAGCGGTTTATATGTTACAGTGAGATCCTCCTCCTCTCCTTTCTTGTCACTATAACGCCATTACTGAGCGTCGCAAATGTAATTAACTCATTCAATTGTCATTACATACTTCCTCTTTCGCTTCTAAGAAGAGAAGAGCATTTCTTTAAAGAGGAATGGCATTGCAGGATAGGTAGGTTACAAGTCTATAGAACGGCTGGGATCAAGGGTGTCATATACCGCCGGCGAATAGCTCAGCAGGCTCCTAGTGTAATGCACGCGACAGTGTGCTAGCCAACTTGGATATTTACAGCTGCGACATAACTATGAAATAGCTACAAAATCGGTTTTTAAATAGTTTTGAAGCTCGTGTTCAATAGCAACAGTGTGTAAAGGCGAGCAGACAGCGGGAATTCAACAAGGATAAACTGTTAGGGCTCTGAACATGGTTTGTTTGCCATTTAACTTGTTTAAAGCCTTCCTCATCCGTGACGGATGGACATTAAATTCCTAAGAATGCAGGGAACCGATCACTAATGTTGTAGTCTTTTTGCTTTGACTCACGCTTTGAGTCATCTCACAGACGCCAGAAGGGATTCGAGGTGAAGCTCACTAACCTCTGTGCCTCCTTTCACTCGGTCTTTCTCGAGCGCTTGCTGTGGAGCTCAAAAATAAGGAAGTTTGGGGAGATATCGAAATTTCGCAGAATCATGCAAAAGGAGCGGAGGCTAACGTGTGAGTGCAGATGCACGATTACACCCTCTGCCTCCCTCGTGTAAAGAGTGGAGTGAAATTAAGGATGTTGGAAAAAGTTATAAAAATCCGTTCGCAATATATTCTTCGAGAGGTGGGCAGAGTTGCCTATGCGCTGGTGTTCGGTCCTTCACAGTGTGTAGGCGTAATAACAAAATGCAGAATAGTAACAGATGCCGAAGCTATGGTATAAAATTACAAAACCCATGTACACGCTTAAAATGTATGAGTGGCTGTTGGGGAAGGGTCTGCAGAAGTGCCTAGTGTGTAATGTTTAAGCAAGTCTTGAATACAGTTCGAAAAGCCTTAAATTTTGTTTGGAAAAGTAGTGAATTTTGTTTGGAAAAACAAGAATTCGGTCTGGAAAGTCGCGTAATAAACTTGAAAAGCTGTAAATTCAAATTGTGAATCCTTGGAGTTTCTCTGAAAAGTCGTGAATTTGGAGTCAAAACATGGTTCACATCAGGCGTCTTGCCATTGTTTTCCTGTTTTCTCTTTCATTTTTTAGTCCAACGTAGAATAGAAGGAAGCAGTGTACTCTTAATGTTAGTCACTGAATATTGCTCACAGGTCCCCTCCATTTCTCCCTTCTCCTAAAACTGGTGAGGCTGCAAGTCGTTGGCGACTTCCTGACTGATGTCATCAATCTTAAAGTAATGGGAAAATTTCTTAGCTAAGAAAATCACAAAGGAGAATAGGTAGCAGTCATAGGAACCAATGTCAGGAGTATGTGGTGACCGGAGTATTGTTTCCCCTACCCCTCAATTATTGGGCAGGTCTCCATGGGAAGGCCACTCCTCGCATCATCACGAGCAAGGCGCAGTTTACGAACACATAATTTTGCAGCATTCCCGTCGCATCTCCGAAGATGCTCAGGAGGACCTTCATGAATTGTGTGGCTCATTTTGGCCTGCTAAAATGAGCGTTCTTTTCGAGCCAGCCACATGGTACAGTGTGGAACTGGAATCACAGGGAACCCGTCTCTACTCTCGGCTAATCAATCGTCTCCTAGAAGGTCTTTTTGATGAGGGTGGAGAAGGGGAGACTGACAAATAGGTACCCAAGTGTATCGTGTGTCATCCGTCAAAGTATGGGGGATCCACCGTGCCAGCGCTCTTCGATTGCCAAGGGCTTACAGGCGGCCAGTTAGGTACATCCGAGTCTTGTCGCAAGACTGTTGGTGGTAGCCTCCGGATCCTCTTTGACAGTTTTAAGAAAGGTGGAGTATTCCCCTTTTCCAGGGGTCCGGCTGAGATTGCGGGTTGTCTTCAAAGATCCCTCCTTCCGTGGAGCCTGCGAACTAGCGCTGAGCAGACCTGTATGGCGTCCTCACTTAGTACACGAACCACCAATAGAAACTCGAACATACACCTATGAAACTGACACTTGATTAAACCCAGGGGAGACAGTCGCTTTCATATGCCTCTTGCGTGAAAGCGTCGAGAGTGTTCTGCGAGCGTAGCATGTTAACGTCCCACCTTTTATTGTCATTTATTCATTTTTTTCCGAATTATGCGTTTTGGAAGTGCCGGAGGAGCAGCGAAGAAGGTGTAGTAACATTGGATGGCAAGTAACTAATTCTCTTTTTCTACCTTACTAGGTTTCTTACTTTAGTGAGGCTGGACTGAAACTTATTCAGTGATTCCCACGCATCGCTTTCGCCGTCCGAAAAGGATTGAAAAGGGTGGATTGCGATGGCAAATGCAAATTGCACGGTGAGGCGAGATCAGTAAATCAGGCCCCTTCGGGAGCAAATCATTGCATTTTCAAAGCTCCCCTTCCCTTTTTGTCCATTCACTGCTGTCTGATAATGAACCTTGCATGAATAGTGCCACTCAATGACACCTTCTATAAAGTGTACTTTACGAATCGGCAATAGTGAACTATCCCGAAAGGCTGTTGGGGCCACTTTCGCTGAAACTGGGCCTAGTTGGGGAGGGAGAGGTCTCTCTATGCCCTGTTTACGTGGACAACACTCATTTTTGACTTTTCAGCGCTATTCTGACGACAAATGGACTCGGCATTACAGCTCAACAGAACATCAAATGGTGATCAGGACCTTTAAAAACTCCTATATACAAATTTTCAGCAAAATTTTTTTGAACCTCTCGGGGCAAATAAAAATGGAAAAGCACACATGAAAAGGCAACTTTACTTGCCTCTATCTTCTAGGTTATCAACGGAGAACTGCTAAACTTCTGCTGAATTTTTACCGGATGAACGGGACTTGCTTTTTGCGACATCTCATGTGTATAGAGCGTGAAAAATTTTTGCCTTTTGTGGAATTTGTAATTGTTAGTTGTGCGTTTGTGTTATGGTATAGAGAAAGATTCACGTTAAAAAATTTCAGTGTCGTTGTTTTTACTCCTATTCTCCATTCCTGTACAACGAAGGCGCTTATGGACGCGCATCTGTACAGTGACAGTTTGGGCCCCGCCTCTTTGTCATTCCCCTCTGCGGTGTTTGCGAAGATTTCGCAAATTTTCAAAGGCTACGTGAACCACCCACTGTGAGAAGCTCCGTCCACTCTTGGAAAATAGTGCAACTCGGCAGGATGGGGTCTCAAAATCCATGCTAGATTCCCGCTCGTCACTCGTAATGAACTTTGCCCGGTGTTTTGTTACGAGTGGAGCGATACCCTAACGTGAATGCTTAGACTCTATCCTGCCGATCTGCTTCATTTTTCAATTACGAGAAGCCAAAATTTTCAACGAATCCTTTGAAAAAAGTGCAATCTCAGTTGAAGCCTGGGCGAATAAGTCCTGAACTCGGCAGTGAAAGTCGTGATTCTCGTTCGAAAAGACGTGAATCCGGAGTGAAAATGAAACTGTCACTTTTTTGTATATGCTTGTACACTCTTCTATCAGCGGGCGGAATAATTCCGTTAGGGAAAGAAACAAGCGCACGCGACGTACATATAGCAGGAATACATGCCTGGGCAAAAGTTACCCTAGAATGCCGGCTGCTTTGCCTACGTAGGTCAACTGTGGCGCCATTAGTGAAGGACGACCATCTACTACTACCACCACCAAAAAATAAAGGATAAAAGGATAAAGTCTTCGCCGTTAATCTTTGCTTGGGATGCGGCACGCATTCTACTTCCATTCAGAATCGTAGTGGCTTATTGAATGCGATGTGGCCTATACAATGACTTGCGGGAGGAAAGAAGGCTTGGTTGGCCTAGGCGGGTGTTCACCAGAAAATAGCGACTTGCAAACCCCTACAGCGCGGGTTGAGCGCTTTAGTACATTATCTTTCGCAACGCACGTAGCATAGGTAGGGGGACGGGGGGATGGGGGGGAGTGTCGCTCGGCAGTAATTGACAATGTGTAGCTAGACGCTTATTGATTTCATATAGCTGAAAAGTCGGCGTCTATGCCTGCAGTATAGACGCTTATTGGCAGCGCGACACCAACGTTTACTCACCATGGGTGTCAGTTTATCCATATCGTTGAGACGACGAAGATTGTACATTCTAGTGCGGTTTTCCTATCTTCTTCAGCTACCATTATCTTCGCAATCTTCGTTTCGAATTTGATGATCTCGTCAACATCTTGCTTAATCTTTCTATCGCTACTTGGACGATTGGCGTACTCTCTAATAAGTTTCACCTGAACAATCAGAACTCCTTATGAATAGATTTTTGACAAGAAGGTACCTGAAAAGAATGTGCGTTATCACTGCTGGCGCTAACCTGGTTTATGAGGAACTGTTTGTAAGCTTCAATCTTTTTGCCATACTTTGCTCGGTCCAAGTAGTAATCACGATCCAGTCCAAGATCAGCTTGATCGAACTGTAAACGTTTAATGGTGAGTCGCGCCTGACGTTAAGATTATCGGCATTACTTGTACATTGAATCTGCCCTCTGCTCTTTATACGTTCCCTTTTTATTCTTATTCAGCATTGTTATCTGACTACTTCATCGAAATTAATTATAACGTCAGTCTCAGCCCACAAACCTCATGGTCAGCATCAACGAGTCTGCTGATAAGATTAATTCACTTGTCTACCCACACATATATTTATTTATTTAGTTATTGATTTAATGTACCTTATTAATTTGTCAATGTGGGTTGAAATAGCAATTAGAGGGCACAGTGAAACGATAACGAGAATAAAGATGAGCGATAATTACTA